AAGAGTGTACCAAGTTGTTTCCTGTTTTTTCTAAATAAAAAAAAAGTTAGAGCTTCTGTTAACTTAGAATTTGAATGAAGCTGTTGTAGTCTATTGGCGTAAAATGTCTTTTGAAACCCAGAGTGGCTGAGTTGAGTGTATATTAGTTGATAAAATGGGGGGCTGTGTGGGAATCATTCATGGTAAAGGGAAATCTCAAGCTCTTGTTCTCATTCGAACAAAATGGTGAAGGTAGAGCTGCAATATTTGATTATTGATCAGGAACTTTTGAAATTTTAGAACAGGAGAATCCCTCTGAAGAAATGTTTTAACGACTTGGAGGTTACCAGAAGCTCTGAAAGACAGTTCAGAATATATTGCATCACATTTTCTGATGTCCAGAAATCTGCAAGTGTCAATTTTGTATTTTAACTCCTTCCTTTTACCTGACTATCAGGGAAGCGTGGTTGAGGCTGACCTGACATGTCATGATGTCGACTTGCTAGGTGGGGTTCGCAAGGGACATTAACCTTGGAGTTATCGGTAAGACAACTTTCTTTCTAATTTCCTTCAGTAAGATTAAAGGGCTGGGGTGGGAGGAGGGAGGACATGAACTTCACAGACCTGATCACTGGAATATTGTTGAAAATCTGCCATTACCATGGAGAGATTCCAAGCACTGAAGGTAAAAGTTAAATTTAAATTTGTCCATGTCCAAGAGGAACATGGCATAGGTGCTTAATACTGAAATAAATTTGAAAATAAAGATGACTTGCACTTCAAAAGAAAACTGGATGCTATTTTAGGGACGCTGGAAGAATAAAAGATTTTGAACACTTAAATTTTTCCTCTGTAATTAAATCCACATATGGGATGTCGTGTCCCCCTCAACCCCTGCAAAAGCGACTTACAGCACACTTCTTCGAAGTCTAAGAAAGTGTCCAAGTAGATATCTGTAAAATAATAAAATTTTATCTTGAAAATAACAACAAAACTGGCATATCATGGGTTTGGATCATTTATATATTGAACATGATAATGCTTAGAAGGCATTAATTGAGAGAGAATTGCCATTAAACCAAGGGACAGTTGTAGTTTATCCCATTATAAAACCACTGGATTTTAGTAATCGTCTTTTTTTGTGGAGGGCATGATATGTTGATTCTAGACTAACAAATAGCAGAAGTTGAAGAACAGATTTGCGAATCAAACTGGGAATACTTGGACGTGTTGAATCC